TATTATTGTTGTGAACTGATAAAATTATGTCCCATTCACAGCAATATCTATTTAAAAATAAGTGAATAGAATCGCTATAAATCCGACAACTACTTCTATAACTCCTGTCTCGTTTCTACTCCAGTGAGTAAGGTACTTCTTTTGTATCTATAAATCAAATTAAAATGTTTATTAATTAATTATAATTTTATTTATAGGAATTTAATTTATATAACTTTTAGGCAATAAATAGACCTGCTATATAAATAGCCAACATTAATACATTATTCTCAAATAAGTTATTTATTTGTTGATTATTAATTTGAATAAGATTGTTTCGTTACTACAATTACATAGCAAACTGTTTACAGTATCATACACATGATAAAACTTAAAATGTTTCATATGAACATGGTATGTTTTAAACTATTTAAAGAAAACCTATAGGGTAACAAAATTTTTAGTTTTTTCTACCTGTGCTATAATTGTATAGGGTAAACGCACCATTGATGAACATGCTAAGGAAATTTTTGTCTTTTTTGGCTTATACTGCCTTAATTATTATAGTTATAAACTTCTCCGTTGGACATTTAATATCTCTAGGATCTCCTTTTTCTATTTAACACTTCAAAATATTCAGTTATGCAGTTATAATCTCCATTAAAAAAAACACCTCTTTGCACTAGTGATTGTTCTAGTAACGGACAGGGAGACAGTAATAATAGACATACCTCAGAAATATTCTATAACCTTTATTTAACTATAAATATAACAATAGAGATAAGATAAGATTAATGTTCAACTTATGAAGGTATGAATACTGTGATCTGAAGAGCACTATATAAACAATAATGATAGGCATTTAAATTTTATTCTTTTGGGAACTTTATTTATACAGTTGTCAATATATGGTATGGTTCTTCAATCTAGAAAAAACTAGAACCTTTAGATCAACAAGGAAGCTTATTATTTACATTTAAAGTCCAACCTGTCCATAAATGGTGCATTCACCCTACTGTTTTTTTTCTCGAAAATTCACAGTATATTGTGTGGAAAAAACTTCTCTTAAGTCGACTCCATTATGCTTAATAGTTTGCCCTTATGCTTCGCTTATAGTGACCGCAAACGATAATTTTGATAAACTGTACTATTATAATAGCTAATACTTTTTTCGTATCAACTGTCTTCAAAAGTCACCGCTCCGTTTTTATGAACTTATTTTCAAATCTGACTGATAGTTTTTGAAATTCATTCAACCATTGTTTTAGCTGAATGTATTATTACAGATTTGACAAGAATTTACGAGATAATTTTTTAAACTTAAGTCATAAAAAAGTCCAGTTGTCCTTGAACGTCTGGCTGGCTAAAGATTAACTGGGATGTTTCGGAAAAAGAAATTTTATCTTTTAGGTTGTATTATCAATATTAACTTGCTTCAGCACCAGGAAATCGGTTGAGAGAGTAGCGCAGGGAACTTCTGGAGTCCTGCTTTCCCCTCTATAGTTGGTAGAACAAGCTTGGAGTTCCCTCGCCTGATTGTAAATAGTGTAGATAGCCTGATTGTATATAGGTCTATTTGTGTTTTTTATTTTTTATTTTACTGAAGTTATTTTATTTTTTATTTATTGTATATACTTTTTTATTATTATTTTGTTGATTTTTTTTTATCTATTTATGTTATCTCTTTTGCATATATAGTATGAATAGTGGTCTTACCTTCCTATAATTAATGTCAAAAAGACAGAATATTATATTACTTAATAAATAAATAAAAAACGATTATTACTATTGTTTGATATTTACTGAAGAAAGTATATTTCAGTTCATTTTATTTTATTTTTTTATTCCTGTCGATGTATATCCTAAAATAGTACTAGTTTATTTTCTCTTTGTTCATTGTTTAAAAATGCATGAGTATTATTATTTTTATTTTTTTTTAATGAAAAATCTCTTTAAAGACTAATAGCAATTGTAAGTTGCCATTGCTCCAATTATTGTCAGACATAATTTTGATAATAACTTTTTTAATTTCTAGAAAAAAAAAACAAAAATGATATCAAACCGAATGTTTGTTCTATTTTCTTTTAAATAGAACAAACATGCATACCTGCATTCATTCAGAGTTTTTTTTTTTTTTTTTTTTTAGATCGTCTCTACAGTTATTATATTTTCCCAAAAATTATTTAAATGAATTAATAAAAATTAATGGAATTATATTCAAGCTGGTAACAGCAAAATAAAAAATAATAATATCCCAAATAAACATTTTAATTAAAAATTTGTCAAGTATACTAATTAAAAATATCTATATAACAAAATTAATAAGTTAAAAATATGTATGACCATTTTTATTTATATAAAAATATACTGTTTCGTGAAGTAAAATAAATTATTAATATACTTAGAAAAAATATATATACGGTTTTTGTGGTAAGTTTTATGTATGTGTATAACGCACATGGATGTTATTAGTTAATGTGTTTGCGAAATATTCATGTATATCTGTAAGTGCATAATTTTTTAACATGTTAAATTAAAAAAAAACTATATAAATGTGTCTGAGATATTTTAATTTATTTAAATAGCAAAAACAAATTTTAAATTCTAAACTTAATTTGTTCGAACTACATACATACGCACGCCAATGATGAGAAAATATATGCATTCTAAAAATAGAAATTTACTTTTTTCTCAAGAAACCTTCGACTTCGAAAGTATATGTGCAACAATCTTTTGCAGTCTTGTTGGTTGTTGAAACTGGAATATGTTTGTTTTTTAATGAGTCATAAGAATTACTAATCTGATAAGATATAATAAACAAGGATTTTAATCGACGATAAGTGGTATTACATCCGATAGGTATATTCCTATCCATTACCTACCAAGACACATTTCGCTTATATTATTTAATAGATCCAATAAATATTTTTTAGCATAAATAAAGACTAAAATGAACAACCTTTGATTTTAAATAACGAATCAACGATCACATTTAAATTCAGGTCTCAGCAGAAAAATGGATAAATAATAAGAATATCTATCTTTATTTATAATAGGGTGGTTTTTCGCAGTGTTAACGAATCGGAGGCAGTAAGTAATATTTTTATTCTGTTACAAATGGCATCTAACATACAGAGTAATATACTATGGATATATAGTTTGACTACACGAGTTCACTCCAGGTCTCCTACAGTGAAGAGTGTGACTTCAAGAATGTAACTGCAAGAGTGATTAGTCCAGAGGATCATGGGGTTTATATACCCAAGAATAGCAGGGGGATGAAGGGAAGTCGGAAGAGGACGCCAAAGGAAGCACGAGGGAGAAGTTTTAACTATTAAGAATGTCTATCCTTATCCTTTAGAATTGATATGAAGTCTGTGAGACAGAGACCTTTTGCTGAAATCTGTTATGGTTCTCTAAGTCTTGATAATGGGTCTTGTGTCCGGTCGGTACATTCTAGATAACTATTTCTAAGCTGTCAGAGATAGCTTGACCTGGCTATCTAGGTATAGCTTTGTCCTTTTATCCTTTGAGTTATGAGAATCGTCAATACATGATTCACCAATTGGCATATTTAAAAAACTCAATTATTAAAATAAAAGTTAAATCAGTATTATTATTATTTGTTATGGATTAAGTCCATTCCGTAACTGACGAATGAGTTATCAAAGGAAAAGGAATTTTATGAAAAAATAGCAAATTATAATCAGATCCTCCCGGAATTTATTAGAAAAAAAGTTACAAAGGAAAAGAAATTTTATTTGGGAATAACTAAAAAATATACATTGTTTTGTTCATTGCATCCACTATCATTTCAAAAAATTTACTAAATTCTCTAAACAACAACAACAACAAAAATCGACTAGAAATTCGTATATTTGTACTGACTAAAGGAGCAAATTGGATTTAATTTTTTTTTAAGTAGAGTTGAAATTTGTGTTTCGCACTTGGCATAACTCTCAAATACGAATTTTCACACTAATCGAAAAATAAATTTTGTTTCCTTTATATTTATATGTAGGAATGAAATTTAATATGACCCCAACCGTTCACACGAAAATTAGCAGGAATTAAGAGATACATAAACTACAGGAAATGAAAAAAAAATTATCGATTTCCGTCTATTATTAGCTAAGATACAGGTTATTGTTATACGTAAACATTTTGGTTTAAAGCATGAATGAAGTTTTGTAATAATTTTATTTTCCTTAGTCGATTAAAATTACAAAAAATACAGTAAATTTCCTTATTATTTTGTCATTTATTCACTGACCCAAATTATTTGCGAATTATTCGCGCGAGACATCTAATTAATGTTATTATTATTAGTTTATTATTATTAGTTTATTATTATTATTAATTAATGAGCTTCCAATGCTTGAGGTCCCAGATTTGAATAATCGGCCGTGAGACGACCCTGAGGTAATGAGACCCTCCTGAGGCACACCCAGCCTCTACAAAGTGGGTACCCTTAATTAAAAAATTAATTAAGTAGGTAAATCTGGAGGTTGAGCGTGATCCTGGTCCGATCTCCTCCCTGCTCAACCGTTAGCCTTAAAACAGCACTTTCCCTAATTAGTACTGAACCCAAGACCCTTCATAGGTTATAGTGGTACAGGTCTATTATTTTTTTTTATATTAGTTTCTAGTAAATTAATTAGAATCTAGGACATCGCCATATTGAAAGGTGAAATGGTCACTATTAACCGCCAGGTTCATCTTCGATGCAATGAATGTTAAGTGCTGCACTTTTTATGAATATTCGTTGTTGAAGGCGTGTTCATGGACAGAAACAAGAATATAAATTTAAGTACTTAGTTATTTTTATCAACGACATTTCACAGTTCCTGTGAAATGTAGTCCTAATGCCTTGGAGATTAGGATGGGCCGAAACGTATACTGTAAAAATCAGAACAATAAACCATTAGTTTAACTTCTTAATGGTTACGAGGGTCTAAGATGTCTCATGTGGAAAAAGTCGAAATTTTAGATGCTCGAACCAAGAAAATGGGTGTCTGCTTCTTATATATGATTAAATTGACTTATTTTCTATGAAAGATGTACAAATATCTTGACAATGCATGTAAAGAAAACACTGATGTAATATTCATTATATATATTTTTTTTTTAGACATGGGGATGTTAATTGAAAACGAAAAGGAAGCAAGAAAAAGACTGTTTTTGAAACTCGGAATAACAGAAGAAACTCTTAAAGAAGATGTGGAACACCTCAAGGAATGGATGCAGAAGCAGCCGCACCTTCCAGCAATGAGGCATGGTAAGCAGCTATTATTATTTTATTAACAGCTATCATTATCATCAATTTATTATAAAAACTATATTTTTAAAAGTTAAATTGATAATTAATTATTAAATATTTGCTATATAAAAAAAAAATTCTCTGCACGAGAACTGGGTCGATCTAATGCAGAGTTCTAAAGCATGAAGGAAAAAGATCAATAAAGAACTGGTAATAGAAACTAACCTATCAATATCTCACGATATGAAGGCAAGGAGGTTAAGATGGGTGAAAAGGCTTCCATCATGAAACCTCTACCCAATAATGAATGCCTCAATAGTAGGCAAGATACCACGTGGGAGGCCAAAAAACAGAGGGAAAGGTCGAATCAACAAATATGCAACAGAGCTACGTGCAGATACATGGAGAGAAATAGCCCAAGACAGGCATAGATAGATCAGGCTGGTTAAAGCTACAAAAATCTACAAGGTCTGTAATCAAAAAAAAAAAAAAAAAAAGAAAGCAGACGATATCAGTAAAAGACAATTGTATGTCTATATATATATATATATATATATATATACAGACAGGGTGTTTCAGTTCTTAATGGCCTGGACTCTGGATTTTGGAGTATTCCTTACTTATATCCTATGAAATAGGTGAGTATCCAACTATTTATTAGACATAATAATAATAATAGAGTCAGCAGTAATCAGATTTTTTCTTAATGATTGATCTCTGAGTATCGAAAATGTCAAGGCAGTTGACATCGAAACGTCGAGGTTTTTATGAATATTCTTATTCAAATAAGGCAATAAAAACAACCGTGTTGGCTTTAGACCATACGATAGAAGTTAAAACATCAAGGGGAGATTATTAATAGGAAATATACATTCTTTTCGTTTTATATTCACCAAGTAATAGCCTTTACAATATATATATATATATATATATATATATATATATATATATATATATATATATATATATATATATATATATATATATATATAACTATAGTTGTGTATAAACTATTTTTTGTTCTATAATCGCAAAGTAATAATTGTCCGTGGCACAGACCCCTTTTTATCAAATTATTAACATCCGCATGAAACTTCGCAAATAGCTTCATCGCATCGTAACATATGAGACTTAAATAATTTAATTTAAATAATTTAAGCACAAAGTCGAGAAAAAAGGTGGCCTTCAAAATAAAGGTGACCAAATTATCTTACGAACCAAGCGGAAAGCAAATGGATATTTACGAGTTTTTAGTACCTAATTAAATAGACAAAGTTTGTCGACCTCCAGATTGAAACGCCCCAATTCCGAGAATTTTTGTAAATAAAATATTTGTTGGTTGCGATGAGATGAAGCTATTGACGAATTTTCAGGTGTATGTTAATAATTTGATAAAAAGGGGACTGTACCACGGACTATAACATTTAAAATATATAATAGAATAGAATAGAAAATCATCTTTATTCTAGGATTAGGTCCCTTAAGAATAACAATATTGTTCAAACCAATTGACAATTAATCTGGCCAGATCATAATAAAGAGTAACTAAAATCTAAGTAATACAATGAGTATATACATAGTTTTGGAGGGTATATTAAGGAAAGCAGATGGGTATTAGGGTTAAAATATTATAATATTGGTACAAAAAACAAAAACATATTAATAATTAAATAAAATTGGAAAGAAACGCTAAATAAGTTTTATAGGATACCAATTTTAGTGATAAAATATAAAAAATAAAATAACTAGAGTAAATAAATGATTTATATATGTTCCTTAAGAAGTTTAAGTGAAAACATGTGAAGATATTGTGAAAAACTAGACAAGTATTGTGATGTACCTAAGACGCAATAGATTAAAAGCAGAAAAAAATATATATATATAAGTAAAAAATAAAATACCTTTAAATAAAATCCTCTTAAAAAAAAATAACTTTGAAATTTTTTAGTCGAAATGTTCAATCAGACGTTATTATATGATTTTTTGGCGCTATATTTTTCTCTTTCCGACTCTCTAATTCGGTATCAAAATACAATTTTGATTTATAGCTCATAACAAAGAGGATGAAGTGCTGAAAATGTCTCTCTCTTACAGTATGCAGGTCCGATTTTTAGTTTCGGAGATATTTTAATCCATATGCAAAAACACGTCCGAGCCTGTCGGATCAATCTCATTCACTGCCCACAAAAAAAGTGCTAAGTGCGCCTAAATAAGTTTTCACTTAAAAAATAATAAAATAAAAGTAGTTCATGTAAAAGTAGCTCGTCGGCTTTTAGTGATCCGGTAGGTCACATTTCTGCCTCCAGCTTGAATTGAGGAAATACCTATCCGTCCTCCACAAAGAACCTTGAAGGTACGGCACATCGCCATCATCATTCCATGATGCTTCCGCTGCGACTTTGAAACTTCTTACGCCCAGTTTTGAAACGGCCGTAAAAAAGACGATTATTGTGTAATGTTTTCCCTTTACAATGTCGCATAATCATTGCATATCAATAGCCTATTATTCTATTGTGGACAACTAGTCCGCCTCGATAAGGAGTTGTTGAAACACTTTCATTCTGGATGGTGGCATTGTCAGATCCATCAGGCGTTCTTGTAGTTGTTTCCATTATCTATATCCTAGATGTTATTTACAATGTCCAGTCCAGGGAGTAGACTGGAATTCAGATTTCTACGTCCTATCAGGTTTGAATCGTGTCGAAGGTATATTTTTTTAAATGAATGACTGCACCGTTTTATTGATTCTAATAAGAAATAGATAATCATTCATAGATCATCAACTGTTCTACTTTCTAGGGTACCGATAGAATGATAGAAAGTACAACAGATAGGCAACTAGAAATTCTTTTTATTTATTCAATAGATAAAATAAAATTGCAAGGAACACCTTGATAATAATACACACTTACTAGATTAAGGTCCGGTTATAAAAATAGATTTCAGATATTATGGACTATGATAGAATATTACTTTGTTATCAGACATTGCTCTAAGATGTCCAGTAAAACATGAAGTAAGATAAGATATTTTTTTTATTTATTAATAATTTCAATTATAACTTTATTAGAGTTCATTAATTGTTTTAAAACATTGAAAATTCTTAACAAATAACAGTGGCCTATCTAAAAAGGCAGGTAGGGTAGTTGCACTGGACCACACTTAGTAATCACATACATTTATTAATCAGGCTAGAACGTTATTCTCTATATCAAATATGTAAATTTATTTTCTTTTTTTTATTTGCAAGGGAGTGCGATAGCTCAATGGTAAGACACTGACTTCATATACTTAATGTCCCAGGTTCATGTCCGACTGATGGCAGATACATTACTTATTCTGATTTTCCGGCCATAGATTGATACTGGGGTTGGGAGAATTTTCTGGGGGAGTCCAAGCCTCTATAAAGTGGGTACCCGTAACTAAATAATTAATTAAGATGGAAAACCTAGCGTGATTCCGGTCAAATCGCCTCTTAACGCAACCAAGAAACAAAAGTTGACCAAGAAACAGTACTGAGGCGTAGTAGCCGTGGAGTTGTAGAGGTGAAACAGGTTTTTTTTTTTTTTTAATTTGCAGCCTAAAAATAATTCCCTCTTGCCCACTCTCCTCTCTGTCCTCAAATCTTCTAGTTACACTAATACCCAAGAATTTCGGAAGAAAGATAAAGCAGATAACTAGAATAATATAAGTAATAACATGGTTAATATAAGTATGTCTTTAGTACTACAGAATGTGTTTTAAAAATAAAAGATAAAAAAATATTGTCAGGAATCTCAAAAAAAATTATCAAAGACCTGACCTAATACTTATAACTAAATAAAACTCACAGAAAGCTAAAAAAAAGAGTCAAAATGAGTATCTTTTGGTTGACACTTGATGTTGATATGCAAGATGGTGGTGTGCTGTCTTCTCTCTTGCTATATTTTTTAACTAATATTCATTCAATTAATTGATTGAAAGGAGTGATTAACAATATTAACATAAAAAAAAGGAAGATAGAAACAAAAAACTCATAGAGTGTACTCTATAATAATAATAATCAGATGATTAATAAATAAACTAAATATAGAAAGTAAAACCACAAGTAAATCACAAAACCTGAAGTATTGAAATATACCATGTGAAAATATGATACCTACTTGAAGTTTGGGAAAAATAATATGAAATATCTGTTAACTAGTTGGCCCGTTCTGTTAACTATATGGAAATAAGTAGATCCTATGTATGATGTAAGGAAGGAATTAATATATTTTTTTCAGTTGATTACAATATTCCATTTAACATAACAGACCAAAATATTGGTACAAATTGCTTTACTAAGACCTATTTTTTAATGCTGACTGGAAAGAAAATAAATGTAATGAAGACCAAATAATGTCCTGATCACGGAATTTTCTGGAAAGAAAAATATAATGTAAGAACAAACAAATGCCTTTAAGAAATAATAAAGTTAATACATCAGCCAGGAAAACAAGTGTAGTAGACTATTCTACTCCTAAATGCAATATCTTTAAAGAGGAAGACATTATTAAGTATAAAAAACTAATGGACTGTATCTTTGTTAATAATTTTCTGATTTTCTGATTTTTTTTTTTGTTTTGTAGATAATTTAGTAATCTTTTTGATTATCATGGGTACAATCAAGAAAAAAATGCATACTTTTTGAGTTATTCACAAATAAAGATTTTTTTCTTTCATAACTTTTTTCCAGAAATTTCAGGGGAACAATACTATTTTTGGCAAGTGAAACAGGAGAATATATTGAAAATGGGTGATCAATCATTGGATTTGATGAAGAATTGACGAAGTTATGGCGCACCGACAAAAAAACACCTTTCAGAAATAATATATAGAATATTTAAAAAAAAATATATATATAAAGAAAAATAAATTCTTGTTAATTAAAATAAAATTATACACAACCTGACTGATTTGTTATAACATATTGTAAAAGGAAAGTTTCAAATGTAGATAATTATGAGGGATTAAAGGTAGTTTTTTTAATTTCTAAATTTGATGAGATTTACAACCAATGTGGTATGATTTGATTTTCACATTAGCCAATTCAAAGTATTTCTAGAGAATCCTTGAAAAAAAAAGTCATCTGTGGTTGTAACATTACAAATGAGGAACATGAGGAATGAGACAAAAATAATTTAATGCATACATTTGTCCATATAAAAGATTCAAGGAAAAACATGTATATATTTCATTTCTTCATAGTTTAACAAATTAATAAAGAACTATAGTTAGCTAAATTATTGTGAAGCTAAAAAGGCGCTTGCAATTACAAGAATTAATTACCACAAAAATATTGTTGGTGTTCTTTAAAACAATATAACAGATAAAAATAACTAATGTTTATCCTTAAAACTATCGAAGAATGAAGAAAATCTCTGAATTTATATCAGTTACACTTAAACTCAATCACTATGAATTATATTAGCTATTTAGAGTACAAAAGCATGACTATGCTCAAAAATTTGCTTCTCGAAATTGAAAGGATTTCAACAAATGATGTGAAAGATGTTTTAAATTAAAAAAAAGTGTTTCAGTAGAGCTAATTATGGAGGGATCATCGTAAACCTATGACTTCCTGTCCTACAGTATCCTTTAATAACACCCCACTTATCCCTGTTGAACAAATACGATATCTTGGACTCCACCTGGACAAACGTCTCACTTGGAATCCTCATACAAGACTGAAACGATAAGAAACTGCTTGACGTTTCCGCTTACTCCAACACTTACTAGACAAACGCTATAACTTCCAATTAATTACAAAAGACTAATATACATGACTATACTAAGACCTATTTGGACTTACGGAGTTGAACTATGGGGCTCCACTAAACCATCAAATTCCTATGGTATCCAATCCTTACAATCCTAAATCCTTCATAAAATCCTCAATGCTCCTTACTTTGTTACAAATAAAATAATCCATAATGACCTTAATGTTCCGTATGTTTCCGATTTGGTCCAATCCAGATACCTATCCTTCCATAATAAACTTCATAATCATCCGAATCCTCTCATTTCTAACCTTGCTTCTTCTTCAATTCCTGATATATCTCAGAGGCGTCTGAAAAGAAGATGGCCCCATGATCTCCTTATGTAGTGCTACCTGTGGGTAGTTTCTCAACAAGCGTTTTCAAGTGATTATATTTTTGTGTACACATTTACTTGATGTATTTATATTGTAATACAGTTGTAAATATCTTGAATAAATGGTTTAAAAATAAAAAAAATTTATGGAGGGAAAAAAAGAAAATTATTATTAGAATCCTAAACAGTCTTATAAACATTAAGTGGTATGCACAGACATAGCCAGATCTAGGGGAAGAGACTTTCGGGCTGAAGCCCCTAAATACACAAACTTTCAAAATACAACCATGTCTTATGAAGAGATTATCATTAAAAGTGTTATTGTTCGTGAAATGACTTTTAATAAGACTTTATGAATCACCTAAACACCACTTCATATAGATAGTTAGGATCTTTCTTCTCCTTCCTAAGTAATAATCGTTACATATAAAAAAAGAAAAGCTTTTGGGTTGAAGTCCCATTCCAAAATTAAATCCTTGATCCGCTGGTTTGTACTCATACAAACTAATGATAACAGAATGCTGCAATAGTGTGATCCTCGGCTGGTATTTAAGGGAGAGATTTCGGTTTATATGTAAGAAAAAAATTTCAATATTGTGACAGACCCAGTGTTTCTTCAACAATTTTTTTTAATTTCTGTAATTAACTTCCATTTATGTTTCTTTTTAGTTAACCTTGACCTATGGCTGGAAAATCAACTGATAATGTCGAAGAACAGTATGGAAAAAGCTAAGAACAGTATTGAAAGATATTGCTCGATCAGATCTGTCTGCCCTGAATGGTTTTCGGGGAGCGAACTTATAAATGATGTTTTCCGGCTAACTTACGATGTATTGTAAGTATATTTAAATAAGTTTTTATAATAAATTTAAAGTAATTCAGAGGGTTAGAAAGTGGCTTCGGGGTTGCAGTCACGAGTGAAAATACACAACAAAAAATTTTAAAATTATGATTGTGCTTATGTTTCGGTTCAAGAACTGATGACGATCTGAAATTTAGGTTGGAATGTAGGCATAAAAGAAAAAAAAAAATGTTTGTGTATTTTCACGAGTGAGAACAAACTGCCAACTTCTCAACCATTATGTAGTTTTATTGTAATAGTATTTATTTTTAGTTCAGCTATTTAATTTTGAAAAATGTGTTTGTCCATTATTACTGGAAAGCAATGTGTATGATGGCATAAAAAAGCATTGGTTTGAAAATTTTATAGAACTTTACAAATAAGTTTCATTTTAACAGTTTTGTTATACATTTAAGGAAAAAAGTTCAAAGTAACTTTTTTGTAATACAGTTCCAGGTTTATCGTAAAAGTTCAGCTTGTATTTATTCTAGTTCTTAATAAAAGTTCCATAAACAGTAATTAGGGTTATATTATAATTATAATTTGTTTTAAATGAATGTCATATGATTCTAATGTGTCGTTTGTGTTTGAGTAGATATAAATAAAATTCATTATTTAGATCGACTTTTTAGCGAAGTCAACAGAACTTTTAAATAAAAGTTTTTTAAAATAGAAATTCTGTAAAACCTTTACTTGTAAATTTGCAAGGAATAAGTACAATTTCCAACTAACTATTGAAAATTAAAATTCTGGTTATACCGAAAATTTTAAAAAATAAAATGATTTTTTCCCTGCTTTGATGGATCGAGAAAAAAAATTTCTATCTTGAAAATTAAATGAAAAATAAAGATTATCTATCATAACTATTAATTCTTATCTTCGAAAAGAGTATTAAATATCAATAGAAATGGCTATGGATACATTGGATCCCATGTTGGACACGTTGGATCCAGATTCAAACTTATTGTTAGCTTTGATAATTTTTTTTTTCATATTAGTTTTGAATCAACTTTGTTGTTGGGACACCCAACTTCTATAAACTGAATAATTGATCCTTAAACAACTTTTAAAGAAACTATGGCTGTTGAATGTTAATTTATAGATTATTTTTTGTCCAGCTATATGTTTTATATTTATATTTATATTTGTCCAGAGTTATGATATGAAACTATTCAACTGATCACTGAAAATTTGATGTTCATCTTTAATCCCTTCCCTCTAGGCCTTTATTTAAATATCCTTACAAAATCTTGACAGTAATAAATATGTAATTGCTAAAAGTCCACTTGAGAGTGAGCCACTTGTTTCGGGGCCAACTCACAATATTTAACAATCCTTTACCTCTCCCTCCCCAACCAAAAAAAAAAAAAATCCTCTTTATATATTAAAAATAAAAATGAAAGCCAGAAGGTCATATCACAATATGTTGAAAAAATAGCTAGCTTTTTTATATGAGGAAAGAAATAAAATTCGCTCACATTATTTTCATATTATGGTTTATTTCCAGGTCGCTTTCATACTTACCTGGGCTGACACCAAGACTTCATAAAGTTTGCATCGCAAGACTGGAAGATACAGATAGCGACAAATTTAATTTTGATATAATTTGGAAACGATGTCTCATGGCCATGGAATATTTTCTACTAAAAGGCCAGGACTTTACAGGATTTCACATTATTTTCGACTTTAGTGGTTTAAAATTATCTCATCTAGCCAGGTTTCAAGTTTCCTCTTTAAGGATGATGTCTTATTCAATGGTAATTTATACTTTAATTAAATTTAAGCACTCATACCATTTTCAAATTCAATTTGTTTGCAAGTTCATATTTCATTTTTAACACAAGTTTGTCTAGGGGAGTGTTCGCTATGGTATATTACATAATTCGTAAAACAAATAAATGTTCTTTGAATTAATTTAAAATCAATTTGTCAACAACTTGAAAATATCAATTATTATCTTTTAAAAAAAAATCATTAATTGTTTATAAATATTTATTTATAAATTTTTAAAAACATAATTTGAATTATTTCAATAATAAAATTCATTATAAATTGTTTTTAATTACGAAATTATTTTTCAAAACCGAATAAAACTACCGCAAATCTAAAAATATAATAAAAACAGTTTCCATATTTTCTAAAGAGCATGATTTACTGTAAATTGTTGGAACATTTAAGGTCTATCCCAACATTTTATATTCTAATTTAATCCTTGCATAAAATTAAAAATTTGTGTCAATGCAAAATTTAAATAAACAGTCATACTTTAGTACATTACTCAAAACTTTTTCAATATTTTTCATGTAAATTCCATTAATTTATAGAAGAAAATGAACAGTACCACATTAATTTACTTAACTTATTTTTTCTAGAAAGCGTATCCTGTGAGCTTCACAGCTGTGAACTTTATAAACCATCCAAATTTTGTGGATAAATTTGTAGCTGTGCTGAAGCCATTCATTTCTGCAAAGCTTCATTCACGAGTATGTAGTTTCTTTTTAAAGTATCTATATTCTATTTTCCAAAGTATTTCATGAAGTGCTAAATGGTAATGTTAACTCAAATATTATAGATTTATTAATATATTGTGAAATATTAAAATAAGAATACAAATATATGTATTAGGTTAAAAAACTCAAAAAGATGTAATAAAAATCTCAAACCTTATTTTGAGAATAAATGTTAATCCATTAATGCTATCATAATTTACCGAATAGAGAGTAGTATAGTAGCTTTTTTTTTATAAATAATCTTTAATAAGATTTTAAGATATTTCTATATTTTTAAATTAAATGTGTTACATATAACCAAAATGTTATGCCTAAAATTAGCACAATTTTGTATTTTAATTTCAGATAACGTGCGTAAAAGATATAAGTGAACTCAAAGAATTGCTTGGACCAGATGTTCAACTACCATCAGATTATGGCGGTGAAGGATTAAGTCAATATGAATATAACGGTAAGAATTATTAAAATGTATTGGAGAAAATCTTAGATAAAATAATTGTTCAATCATAAATTATTCCGGGTACTTAATTTATTTTTACTCACATGGAGAGGTTGCAGACATGGGGTCACCAATAGACACGATTCGCTGGAGCCTTAAATTTTTTTTTTCAAAAATTGTGATAACTTTGACATGGCTCCACTTATCCAACAAAACATGAATTTGGAACCCTTTATGAAAAATGTACAAACCAGATACCCGCAAATAAATTAGGCTAGGAGATAAAAAATAAAAAACATATGGAGTTTTTTCTTATTTGTTCCTTACAAAGGCGTATAATCAAAAAGTTATTGATATGCTTCAGAAGAGCAATAATTTATCATTCCAAGGGATGTAGAAACATTGACTTGGAAGAAAATCCTGAGGAGTTTTGTGGAATGTCATAGTAATAAAAGTGTCTATATAGGAGAAATGCCTTTGTAGTTTATTATATATTATAATTCGTTTAACACAATTAGCATTGCCTTTTTATTAATTTACATTTTAAAAAAAAAAATTATTGATATATAATAACTTAGAAATCCACATATTGCAAAGTTAGAAAATAATAATATAAAAAATAATAAAATTTTATAAAATATTTTTTACCAGCTTCTAAGTAGGAAACATTAGCAAGACCCCTCACACATGGGCTTAATATTTTTCAACTTAATATCGCCAACAAAGTTTCATCCAAATCAGTGTCCCACATTCATAAATTTTCCTTGTCAGTAAAATATCAGTAAAGTAATTAATTAATGAGTCAGTTATTGCTTTGATATATTGAATTCAGCGAAAAGAATAATAAACTAGACCTTCCAAAGTTCACTGAAGGATAAATATGCTCAAACAATTGAAGAAAAGCAATGGAGTGGATTGCTGGAAGAAAGTGGCAGGGTCTCGAGAGACTTCCCCAGAGGGCAAGCCGTGGCATGCTTTAGAATGCTCACAGGACATGATTTCCTTCAGAAGCACCTCCACCGCATCGGTGTAAAAGACAGCCCGACATGCCCTCTGTGTTCCTTGGATATTATGACAGGAGAACATATTGATACATGCTCTGAATTACAGGACATAAGATGTCCCTTTAGTAAAATAGACAGGCCTTATGCTAGAAGAGCAAAATTATATTGGACTGCAAGAGCATGCATGGCTGATCAAGCAGGCATTACTTAGGCGTAGGAAAAAAAAAAATATTTTGATAGATTAGCAAATAATTTTTAAAAAATTGGTTGTTCTCTATCAATCGTGGATCAAGGATTTAATTTCGGGGGCATGATTTCTTATTTTATTTTATTTTTTATAATAACTGTGATTATTCTGGAAGGAAAAGAACAAAAACTATATAAGATAATGTTTAAGTGGTTCTTGACTTGAAGGCCTGTTAAGTGCTTACATTAACAATAATGCTTTTACTGATAAATATTTTTTTGACATGTGCTTCCATTTAGTAAATGAAATACATATTTTATAATTTAAAGAGTAACACTTTCGTTGTTTGTGTATTTAGCTCACATTACATACAGAAACAAATATGGACTAATGAAAAAAAAAAATCCTATTTAGAGGAGTGCTACATCCCAAAAGCCCCCTCCAGGATCCTCCAGTTCCCTATTAATATATTGCACATCCTGAAAGAAAGTGGCCAAACTAAAAATGTCTGTTTTAGATAACCATATTTTTCAATTTCGCCAATAGATAACCTCATTTCTTTATTTATTAGCCAAATATTACAGAAGTCTTACTAAGATAATCTTTTAGTATTCGATTTTATGACATATACATGTACTAAAACAGGATTGAATACTTACTTTTACGATTTTGACACCGACAACTATTGAACTCATAGCCAAGAGGTTTGTAAAATTGATAATCCTAAATAAAATAAAAATATTATTATTGCAAATTGGTTAGGAGATGACAAATTTTGATTAAAATATGTTGTCATAATAATAATAAATTTGAAGTTTGCTAACACTGTTAAATATGCTAATGAATGTTTGAAAAAATATGGCTTTCTACAGTGATTAGATTTTTAGAGTTATTCATAATAAACTATTTGAAATACATATATGTATTAATCATTAGTCCATCAATGGTGTCTTCAATTTCAAACTTAAAAATCATATATAATATTATACAGACAATATTTCTCTGTTATAACAATGAGATGAATTGAAATAAGAAAGATATTCTGTTATACTTGTGTTACATCCATACAAATTAATATTTAACTGGCAATAAATTTACTTTCTTGTTTCTTTAAACTAATTATCTTCTAAATTTTAATTCACAAATAGATAGATACCATATTATTTTAAGTATATAGGAGTATATAAGTATATGAGTATATTTTAAGTATATAAGTATAAATGAGCTGAACTGTTTTTGGTCAAATGATTCTAAAGTAATAAAAGTAAATTTACCTGTCTGGCCAGATTATCAAATAAATAAGTTAGGTTTTGCACTTCAACACAATATAAATAAAGACCACTTTTAACAATTGAAAAGGTAAAAAATGTAAGAAGTCCTGTTTTAGAAAGGAACAATCAAATCAAAGATGGCTCCCTTTGATTCCAACTTATTGGCACTACTGAAGTCATTTATTCTTCTTTTTGAAAATGAACAATATAGATTAATTTAAACATAATATAGAATATAAATTATATGGTATATGCTATAATACATTTTTATACATATTTTTTAGAAATTACTGGTTTTTTAGATGAAACCAATTCAAAACCAGCCTAAGTTTACTAATTTTTCTTTGAGCAAAAATTATAGAATTTTTAACAGGGTGGTAACAGTGTTTGGTTGATGCTTCCTGGGTTCACTCAGCCTTGAGCAATAGGCATAATAAGCAGACTATTTATCAGCCCATAGGAACTTTTTTTTGTTTGTTTTTTCTCAAAATACAAAACTAATCAACGTACAAAGTATTTTAACGACTTCTAAGAATGGGTTGTGTAATATTTGTCTTATATTGGTTAACAACTGTATGAAAAAGAAAATTTATTAGTAAATAAGAAAATTTCAAATGAGATAACCTTTTCAGATTACAACCTCCTATATCATAAGAAGGGAAACCATAATCATACTATGGATCTACCACTAACTAGGAATATGCAATCAACAAAAAATATTAGAATAAACTAATAACTTATCTATTATTCGAAATTCCCAACCAATTTCATTAAACATAAATACCAAACTGGAATTGAGAAGAATAAAAATGATGATGACTTTCACATTAAAAAATGAACTTACCTTAAACTCTTTTGGTTGAGCTATTGTAAAGGAAAATAGCTACATTTTAATGACCACTTGGCAGTTAAGTAATTGATGATTTGACCTCTATTTCTGAATGATCCTGAAATATGAGAAATCAAAACAGACTATATAAAAGCTAAATATGAATATCAAGGAACATAAAAAAAAAAAAAAAAAGAAAAATCTAAATTTAATCTAATTTAATTTAATCTAGTAGAGAATGTCTGATGTGAATTATTTGATAGTATAAGATAAATAATATACATGAATAAGGATAATATATGTAAGGTATAGATGGCTAGAGAAAGGCACTAATGTTTTTTATAGTAAAAAGAAACCAACAATTATTAAACAGATCTCTTCCATCTGACCTGTAGGTACAAACTTCGGAGGATGTGGGATTGACTCCCCTAATAAAAATAGAGAGGAGGCGAGAATATTGTTTCATCTCCCTCTCCTCCCTACTCTCCTCAATATTTTGAAAAACAAAATAAAATAAAATTACTAACAATTAATGCACACGAACAAATGAAATATGTAAACTAAAATCAATTGAGAAAATAGCAAAAGTCAACTAGATGGCCTAAGCAAGGCCTAGAAGTAGATACACAAGTATTTTACCATACCATATGTTCCTATTATTGAAATTTTAGTTTATATTCAAAGATAATTATATGTAGCAACATATCATAGAATTTTATGATTTATTCGTGTGGACCCTCCATTTTTACCAGAAAAATTTATCACATTTCCTGTGGCAAATTTGAAGTATCGGAGAATTACGAATTCATCTCACTGCCTCAAACATTTAAATAAAAATAAAAATATGTAATATATTCAATTGCTTTATTAACATATTTTCAAATATATATATGCACAACAAAATATATAAGTTCATTTTTATACATATGATTATATTGTTTTTTTTTTTTACAATAATTATGTTAATTTTCACTCATAGTTTTTATATATAATATAAACTCCTGAGACTTTTGGCGGGGTCCATCGCCTTTCCCCTAACCAAAATGGAACGCCAACACCTATGATCTTACCCAGCTAGGTAATTAGGAGAAACTATTTAAAAATTGGCTCACCAACTCCTTTCAGATAATATCATTATTTTGTTGTGGGCTCAACATGGGTCTTATATTCATTAGCTTAACACTAATTTTTCTTTTGTTTATCTGAAAAACTTTTTGTTCTAGACATAATGAAGAATAAACTCCTAAGTATAAAAGACTACATTCTTGAATGCGATAAAATGAGATGTGATGACAGCAAGCGCCTAACGAAAGAAGTGACAAACACAACCGATAGTGGTTTGCCTGGCTCTTTCAGGAAACTATGTTTAGATTAAACTAAGCAACCAACTGTTTTTTGTTACCAAACACTATAAAATCCTATAATTGTATAATTTGAAGTGATCAAATGGTTTCATTTATTTAGATTTAATTTAAATATTGTTCTATGTACGTGAATTTTATCATAAATTATATTTATGCATTATATTATATACTTTATAAAATATTATTGCTTCTTTATTTACGGTAAATATAAATCTCTAAAATTATTTAATTATATAATATCCTATGAAATGTAATTTTTGTATTTCTATGTAAATAAAAACTTTTATTTTCAAATTATTTGTTATTAAATTCTATAATAGTTTAAAAAATCTAATTACTTTTTTTGCAACCATTCACACTGAAATAGATGGATATTCCAGAAAAGCGCCAATAAAATAATACAAATTAATAAATTATTGGACCTTTGTTATTATTTTTCTTTTAAATATTGTGGCCTCTGAAGTATAGTATGGAATAACTATGACCTCATTTTATTGCATTTAATCTTTTAATATTTAGTTATTTTCAGAAAATTCTTGTATAATTGAGATAAAAACATGTTAAGCCAACAAAGATGAAAATCCAAACTACTGTAGGTTATCATAATACATTTTTCAATTACTCGGTTACTTGATATTGGGTTTTCAACTAGGAAAGATGATTCAGACAATCAAAAAAAAGGATGTAACTTCAGATATAGATTTCATATCAAAATGGTGCACCAGTAACTAGACTGTAAACAGTACATGTATTGTGCTTTCTATCCATGCCTGTATGACAGCAATGTCTAGTGGGAGGAAAAAAAATCCTCTACTATTTTTTTTCTATCTTATTAAGAAAAATAATTATCACATTTTTAAAATTTTACTACTCTGAAATCCTATATTAAAAACCATTCTACCAATGGCTAAACAATGAAAAATACAAGTTTTGTCAGCCTTAGACACTTTGGTCCTCCAGGCAGTGAAGTCATCACCCTCAAAAAAAAAAAAAAATTTCTTAAGCTGTTTTATTTTAAGAAATATTTTAATTGTATTTCATTCAACATTTCTCTAATTCAGTTACTTTAATAAATTAAATTAATTAAAATAAATTAAAAATTACTCTTATATGTTTTGTAATTATTTATAATCCCATACAAATTTATCTCTCCTCTGACACTCCTGGGTGGTATGGCCAAATTGCCCTGCTCTAAGATCAGTACTGGTCATTGTCCTTGTTTAGTAATTTAAAAGATATAATTTTCATCATTCGCGAGTAAAAACTAGTTTTTTAAATTATGGAATGAGATATGTAAATTAAAATAAAGGTCTGAATAAAATAAAATAAAACGTTATTCTAGGATACTTGCTCGTATTTTACTTACAAAGTAAGTCTTAAGTAATTATAAGATTAATTCCTGTCTTTTATAACTTATTAATATTTTATTCATATAGTCGTAACCTGTGTAAAGAGGTGAAAATATCAGCTCTTGTAAATATTTAATTTTCAAAATGACAAGAATTTGGGAAAAGAAAAAAAAATTAAAAATATGCAATAGTATTTTTGATAACAATAATATTTATTTAAATTCCATAAATAAGAGGAAGAAACCAACACATGCTTAAGACTGATTGTCCTTTTATAGTAAGATTAATAATAATATAAATCATTATTTTACGTCGTTCACCGGCTCTCCTTTCATAAAAGAAATAAAATTCTTTTAACATAATTATAAATATCTTAGTTGAGTAAGAAGTGCTTATATATAAATAAATTAGAAAAAATAATAATGAATAAAACATTAAAAATTCAACATCCCTTTGTTTTGCTTTTTTAAAAACATAAAATATATCATTTTCTTTACAGTAATATGACTCATATTTCATTTAGAACAGACCAAAATAAATTAAATAAAATATTTTTATTAACAAACATGCCTAATTATCCAAATCCTAAGTTCTTAGAACCGACAAATGGTTAAGAGCAAGTGTTGGCTATAATCAAATTATATGTTATAACAAAAAAACTTCATTGATTGGAAGATTTAAAAATATTGGTGGACGTTTATTGGCACTTCGTTCCTCATTACAAAACATAATATTTGTCATTTAAAAATGGGATCATAAGATTCATAAATGTTTAATGCGCTGTTTTAACAAGACCACTATATTAGGCAAACATTTTGTATTTTTTTTTATTGTTATTTATTTATTTTGAAAAATTTAGAAGCATTGTCTGTAAAAAAATGGCATAAATTTGTTTTTCAAAATTTATCAAAAATATTTTTGTATTCCTGTTATTTTAATATTTAAATAAATTACCATAGATGCAAAAACATTTTCCTTTTATGCTTCTTGTTAGGTTAGCGCATTGATATACTCACAGAATTTTCAAATAATGATTTAATATAAAAGTAACATCTTACTGGAACTTTAGTTGTAGATGCATACATGTATACATGTCTATGAACAATATATGACTTTGAAATGTGACATATGAATCCTTGAGTCCATATATGACCGCATATATTTGCTCTTAGACACATTTTTTATTATAATGTATACATACAATATATTTACTGATGAATATTATTGTACAATATTTGGTAGCCATTTATTACTTATTAATATATTTTCACAAAATATTTCAGTTACATCTTATTGTATAAAAAATCTAACTCTTCTAATAGATATCAAATGCATTAGAAATACAAAATCCAATGTTGTAAAGTAAGTCGATTTAAAGAGTGATAGTTTTTATTTCAAAATATGTATATATTCCTTGTTTTGTAGCTCATCTGTAATATAGACATATATTAAAAAATAATAATAATTAAAAAAAGTTAACTAAAATTAAATAATTATCACATTAAATTGATTTATAAGATAAGCACAACCATATAAGATTAACAATTTAATAACAAAACAAAGCCAATATTTTATAACAGTAATTTAATAATATGTAATATATTTTATTCTATGATTCTTTTAGCTACAATGGAAAGTGACCTATAACCTATTTTCATATCCTAGTCAATGCGTTGTAAACCCATACCATATACTTGAGTTTTTTTTATTTACACATTAACATTTTATTTTTATTTTTTTAAACAATGTCATAAAACAACCAGTTAACATTATCACAACAAATGCTTGCAAATAAGATTTCAATAAATCTTTAAGCCATAATGTTTAAATATTTAAATGTGTATTTAAGTTTTTACATGTTATATATTTTTACATCATGTTATGTTTTCATATTTACAATTTGAGTTGATGATAATGGATTGATGAATATTTGGGAAGACACCTTGGGTTGTTTCAATAAAGTATTAACAAATAGATTTTGATGAACAAAAAAATTATATATGATATTTCTATTCTTTCATTTTCATTTATGAAACGTAAATGAATTACTATATATTAAATTTTCTCTTTTAAAATAAATCTTTAGCAAAAGATTAGATTAATTTTTAACTATATTCGGCATTACCTTGAAACCTAGTACCTAATTTCTGAAGTGCGCTAAGTATCTTAATGTGGCTAAATTTATTGAAAATAATGAAACCTAGTTTTGTGTTTATCTGTTTGCGCACAATTATCGATAATGTTTAATCCCATTTTAGTGCTCTTAATTTTGCTTTACTTTTTTAAATTGACTGCAATATATACATGAATATTTAATAAAATTACACCTATTTACCAAAAATATTTTCTCATTTGCGTTATGACACATCGATTTTGAAAATAATGTTAAAATTAATCGAGGTAATACTACAATAAGGGAAAAATATTTTCATTTATCGATCACGGAAGGATTCTTGAAACAATATAATATTTATTCTGGTAAAAGATTTTGTTTATTTGATACAAACAAAATCCGTAAACTTGATAAATTCAATACAGTTAACTCCCTCTTTTCTCATATGCACCTACTAACGATAAAAGGGGAAAATGATTTTATTTTTATTAAGAAAAATACCAAAAAAGAACATAATTTGCTTGATTGCTTGCAGACAGTAATTGTTTTTAAAAAATATTAAATACTGACCTCATAAATGGATAAAAAATTTGCTTAAATAGAATAATATAATTAATAAAAAAAAGTAATTCAGTATTTAAATTTATTTATAGATTTCTCTATATGTAATAATTTTATAAAATATAAATTTAACATCTTTGAACCAATACAAATAAAAAAAAGCTGAAAAGCACTTTATCGGATCTCTCAGATTACTTTAAAAACTATGATTATAATAGTTTTTTGTCTTATCGATTGATAATTTTATTATGGCATTAGATTAGAGAGGGTTTACTGTATTAACAATGGTAAATAAAAAATAATAAATAAAAAAATAATAATAAAATAAATATTTTTATATATGATAAAATATTTACATAATATTTATTGTGGATACCTAGTTTTATTACTCAAAGAGCTACTTATTTGGCCTATACATATTCAATTGAACAAATGAGCAAATCTTGATTACAGTTTCTTATATAAATGGTTAAGGCTGTGCAATTACATTGATTATGCACACAAGTTATTAAAAATTTTCTACAACTAAATGTATAAATTCCAATGAGAGCTTGAAGATTCTTTTTATTATTACTCCATTGCCATTTAATTTCTTGGATAAAATTTATAGCCGTACAAACACCTTCCCAATAGTATGTACAATATATTCACACATAAGATACATAATATAATAACTTGAAACTTGATTAATATTAATAGTTTATTTATCCCCGTTATTATTATTTATATATTTATATATATATATTTATATGCAATTTAACATGGTAATAATTTTTCTTTCTTTTTTTTTTTAGATTTTTTTGGTAACATTATTACACTGATCAGTTTTATTCTACAAAAATATTGTTGTTGATGAAAGTCAACTATTATAATTTATTGCCTGCCTTAAGTTATAGTAGAATACAATTATATTAATTTTTTTTTATAAAATGATTTTTGATGTGTAACTCTCCAGCAATTCATATTCCTAAATAATTTGATGGGATTTGTTATTTTTATTCATTTTTATTTTTTATATAAAAATAAAGTAAATCGTAATTTGTATACAGTTATTTATAACTACAATGCCAACACCTATCTAAAAAGAGCAATTCATGACATTATACAGAATTAATTATATGAATTAATTGTCAATAATCATAAAAAAAAAATATATATATATATATATATACGAAGCTCTTTTGTAGTATAGAGAATCTTTTGGATAATAACTACTAAAAAAAGTCATTTAAATAATTGTTTTTCAAAATGGAAACTTTTACAACACATTAATATTTCAGTTAAATCAGTACAAATATTATAGTTATTGATCAATCATAAAATTTGCTACTATGTAATAATAGCTTTTAAAAGAACAAAAAGAAAAATATTGTTTCTCTAATAAATAAAAAAATAATAAATATGTGCTTAAATATTCTCATGAAATTGGCAAAGCCTTCTAAAATGGCTATAAATTGTATTTGGAAGAACGTATAAAAATGTATATAGTTGGAGGAAGAGAGAGAACGCTTTTAATCAGTGAATTTCAGCAATTAAGATGAAAGCCATTGGAAGTTAAGCAATAATTTTACCTATACAAATAAATTAACGTATTAAAATTTGATTAAAAAAATATTTTTGTAATGATTAAAGCCGTTATACTTATTTATTTGCTAAATAAAAGTCATTTACTAAAACAAAAATAAAAGTTAGCTCTTCTAATGGTTAAATAAAATCAGTTATAATATGATTTTGGCTATGGAGTCAACGTACATTATTCTCTTAAAGTGACATCTGAATGGTAAAATGTACTTGATAATTAAACTAATATGTATTAACTGATGATGAGTTACACATTCGATTTTTATAAAATACTGTACAATAACAATTTTTTATCATAGTTACCTTGATGTATATTGATACATTACATATATATAAATTCAGCATTTCAAATTCTATATACAGTAGGGGTTCTTTGTTGCAGCTCACATACTTGACATATTTTACAATTTGCCTTTAAGGCATACAAATACGTATGTTAGGCATCATCATATATTATTCAGGCAAGGTGTTTTCAAAGTATTAAAATGAGTCTACAGTTCTATTACATATTTTTTTAAAAAAGAGAATATTCAAAACATTCAACATTGCAAAATTTTCAAAATTCTTCCAATAGCGCCACTATATCGAAGTAATGCTTGAAATAAATTCACAGAAATAAATTGTATAAAATAAATAAAAATAGGATATGATAATGAAAGACATTAGAATTACTATTGTTATTAATAAGTTTTACACCTACAGCCTATAAAATGACTACATGATAATTAAGCTCAGATTTATGCATTGTGTTTTGATATATCTCTTTTTTATGAAGTGGGAAATTATGAATAATTGTAACTGGGAAATCGGAATGATGTTGATATTGTCGTAATTATAATAAAATATATAAAGGCCATCTGATTACAGAGCTACTCTTTAGTGACTTATTAGAAATTAAATCCTACTAAAATAATAATTAATAATCACTACTACAAATTTATTAATAAACTTTTATTAAATTAAATTAAATTCCATTTCACATTAAAATAACCAATGTGCAATGGAAAATTCACTAATTCTAAAGTGTTTTAAATAAAATGACAAGTCAATTGTTTATCACATATTTCAGCCAAAAAATATATATAACTTTTTTCGGTAAGTGTTTGATCATTAGTTGGGGAGATCAAATAATAAGTATTTAAAACTTAAAGGAAGGTTTTATGGATGAAAATGATCAGTCATCTCATATTTAGAGTCTTTATTCTTGTGTCCTGATTAGTTAAGGTATTAAAATACTTGGAAAAAATCAATTACTGAAGAGTAGCTTCTTATAGTCTCTGGTACAGACCCCTTTTTATCAGATTATTAATATTTGCTGCATGAAACTTCATAAATAGCTTTATCTCATCATAACTTACACATATTTTATTTACGAAAATTCTCAAAATTGGGATGTTTTCAATCTGGAGATCGGAAAACATTGTCTATTTAATTAGTTATTAAAAACTCGTAAATATCCATTTGCTTTCAATATAATATAATACTCATTTCCAGTAACAGTTTACAGATTGAACTTCACATGATAGTCTGTGATACAGACCCGCTTTTATCAAATTATTAACATCTGTCTGAAACTTCATAAATACCTTCATCTCATCGTAACGTACAAATATTTTATTTAAGAAAATTCTCGGTATTGGGGCATTTTCAATCTGGAGATCATAAAAATTTGTCTACTTAATTAGGTATTAAAATCTGGTAAATATCCATTTGCTTTCCACTTGAATCCTAACATAATTTGAGTCCAAAGTCGAGAAAAAAAGGTGGCCTTCAAAAATATTGGTCTGTTTGGCATGACCTACACCTCTAAATTATCAAAATATCAAGGTTATATAGGACAAATGGCCAAATATTTTTGTAGGCCACCTTTTTTATCGATTTTGTGATCAAATTATCTTACAATCCATGTGGAAAGCATATGGATATTTACGAGTTTTTAATACCTAATTAAATAGACAAATTTTGATGATCTCCAGATTGAAAACTTCCCAATTCTAAAAATTTTCTTAAATAAAATATTTGTAGATTATGATGAGATGAAGGTATTTACGAAATTTCAGGTGGATGTTAATAATTTGATAAAAAGAGGTTTATCACAGACTATTATGTGAAGTTAAATCTGTAAACAGTTACTGGTTAGTTACAAGTAGCGAACCAGTGGCTTCCAATGACTGTTACCAGATGGACAAAAAGCACTTGACATTTCAATGGAAACATATAGATTTAGAATTTTTGCTGTAAAATTTGCATGATAATAATTAAATTATAATTCATTGTATAAACGAAATATTTACAAGATTATTAATTTAAAAACAAAAAAATTACCATCTATTTCCCAGTTATACAACATCTCATTTAATATATAAAAAATTCTTTTGAGACCCAAAACACTTTGAAACGTAGTATAATTTAAGGCAAGCAAGTTTAGACTACTTTGACCCGTATAAACATATAATTTAGAGTTTTATCTTAATTATAAACTTCACTAATCTTCCTCCGGCCCCATCATCATCCTCATCCTCTTTTTGGCAATGTTTGAATAGAGGATGTCTATAGGCTTAGTGGTGTCATAGAGTGAAGGGGCTTGGAGGATAATGAGGGCAGTTCCTAAGATGCACATCACTGTAAACACGTATAGGAAGAGGCGATCGAGCACCATCGCTACATATTTCCAGTCTTCTATCACCTGTGGAAATTTTCAAACAATTATTTACTGATTCTTAATAATTTTCAGCTATTTCATAAGAATAAAGACATAGTACTTAATGAATATAAAAATATCAATAAGCCATTTAAAATCAACTGGCAGTAGTAAACAATAATAACGGAGGTTGAGACTGCAATAAAAGCTCCTAACCATATTTGCTATTTTTGCTATGAACACTTCAGATCAGTACAAAATCTTATTCCAATCGAGTAATAAATGATGTTGGTACAACTGTTTTTGAGTCCTTGAATATCAACCAAAGTAGAAATAGAAATAGAAAATAAACTTTATTCTGGGACGATGTCGCCTTTGAATAACAATATTGAACAGTCACAAAAAAAAAAAAAAAAAAAAAATACATATTTGGCCAAAAACTAACTTAATAAAGATTCAAACAATATATACAACAACTTAAATAATAGTATGTAAATCACCTAAAAATAAAATCTTCTCAATTATACTTATAATTTTACTGGAAAAATGACAAAAATAAAAAAATAAATAAACAAAAGAATTACATGTATAGAAAGAAAAAACAAAACTTTCAGAAAAGAAAAGTGACCTCATTTAAACACCATTTATTTTTTCATTTCCTCAGTAATCAATCTTCCAAATATATGTAAAATAAAGCTATTTTGTATTTTAAAGATATCAGCTTGCAGATATCTATCTATGTGCAATATTACTTATTTGTACAAATACATGAACTCACTCGTATGTATTTATCTTTAAACTCATATGTCTACTTTAAGATCATATATCTACTACAGTGTCTTTTCTTTATTTTAATATTAGGGTTAGACAACGTTGTAAATTAATTCATTTTTAATTGTACTCTAATGTCAGACCATTGTCATCACTCTGAGGGGACCAAATGTCCCAGAGTAAAATTCACTTTCTTTCTTTCAAAAAAATAGAATGCATTGACAAAACATCTCGATATAGACAAATTCAATACACTCTTATGGAAGGAAGCCCCCAATATTGTTATTTAGATGATATAATAAAGAATTGGATAGTTAAAAATATAACATAATAATTAATTACATTATCGAACTTGTCTTTGTTCTTAACGTGTTGAGCAATAAACCTGGCGTCTTCGATAGTCTTCTCTAAAGAAAGCGGTTTGTCGAAGGTGGGGGAGACATCACCGCCGAAGAGATCCTCATCACCTCCTGGAGGTGGGGGGAGCTCCAACTCCCCACAGCTGACTCGCTTACTACTGTAACTAAAGGATAAGAAATTAGGTGTGATCTGAAATAACTTTAATTTATTTGCTTTTACATAAATAAAATGTTAAGTTTTCAAAATAAGTTCTGTTTTTTATTAATGAAATATTTATGCATATAATTTTTAACAATAGAAAAAATGCAAGATCTTTTAATGACTGACATATCCTTGGTTTATTGATCGCTCCATACAAACATATCCTTCATTGCTCGCTCCACAATTTTTTAGAATTCTCTATCTTAAAATTCCTCATGCCTCCTCCTTATCCACATTTAAAAGTGTGCTATTCCAGTTTCTCTTCACATTCAGACGCTGGCTGATTATGTATTATGTAAAATTTTTTTTTTTAAAGGATATTAATACAAATTTCATATGATTTCGTACAAAGCTATTAGGTACTATTATGCTAATTTATTTATCACATTTACATTTTTTTCTTTTTTCTTTGTTAATTCAAATTGTTTGCTTATATGATTAATGTATTTACCTTATTCTGTATTATTCCTTCTTCCTGGTGTTTGAGAATTTAAAAAGACATTTTTTTTTTCTTGGGGAAATGTTTATTATGCTATGCCTATTGTTTAATATGGTTTATTGTTGATAAATTGTAGTATTGTTATGAAAGGGGGGGGGAAAGAAAGGAAAGATTTGTCATATATATATATATATATATATATATATATGTATATATATGTATATATGTATATATATGTATATATATATATATATATATATATATATATATATATATATATATATATATATATATATATATATATATATATATATATATATATGTATATATATATATATATATATATATATATATATTTTTTTTTTTTTTTTTTTTTTTTCCCTACGTGGTAACCCCACACAAGGATCGTTTATTTGATTTTCCTTCATGCTCCATGCCTTAAAGACATACTACATGAATTACATTTGTTTACAATTGTTTTTTTTTTTTCTAGTTTCACATGATTTACATTTTTAGTTCAAATTTATATACATTAACAAAAAAAAAACCAATATGTTGGTTAATGTTTCATTATTGAAAATTTCACAGGGATTGATAGAAAATTTACCCGAGATATTTGTTAACATCGGGAGGAACTTGAAAGGCGTTGGTGATGATGGCCTCTGGAGGCTTGTCTTCATCATCATCGTCTACAGAGTCATCCGACTTGGGCCTCTCGATGAACAAAACTTTTGGCAGTACCTGATTTAGAGATAAAAGGTTAATTACATGATATACTTAAACTTTCTTGCATTACCATAAAAGTAACATAACTACTTTGCAGAAATTATTTGTAACATTAGATTTTTAAGTAACAATAATAATTAACTAAATTTCAAGAATTATAATCTTACAATTTATAACATAAATTTTAATATTGTTGTATTGTATTTTGAAATTTACAAAACTCCTAGACAGCACTGAATCCAGAAGATTCTACAACAACCGAAAAATAAATCAGTATAAAAAATTTCTGGAACAGACTGGGAAGAGTTGGGAAAATCACCAGGCCAATGATAAAAATTGTAATTGAAAATAATATCAAAATTGTTAACAACAATAATTATTTTAATGTTATTTTATTTATCAAAATAGAAAACTTTAAGGTATTTATGCAAATGCTGTTTGGTTGTCCTGAATTTGATAAAGTTACTAGTATTTCATATAGTATAAGATTTATTTGGGTCATTAACTATTTAACTGACTCCAATTTACAAACTATAATTTTTGACTGAAATGCAAGCTGCTCAAAAACAAAATGGAGTGTTATCATTGGCAAAGTTATCATTAATGGTAAAATCAATGCCAGCCTGAGAGCCTTAGGGCGGCGATCATCAGGAACACTCACCACTTGTTAAGAATTTAAAAAAATATATATACACAACGTATTAAAATAATTTATTTTAGCCTATTAATAAAGCAACTGTATTAGAGAAATATTGAATGAAATAAAATTAAAATTTTATATAATATAAAACAGCTTGAGAAATGAACTTAATTTTTTTAAGGGGGATGACGTCAATGCCTGGGGGTGCCACATTATTATTTGTTTATTAATAGATTCTTATTTGTTGGTTGGTGAATAATAAGCTAAATTATATTGCTTCCCTTTAATAATTTTTTCTTAAAATTTAAATTTAAATTTGGACAAATTCTGTTTTGTAGATTTTGTGTAAAAATTCTTCAATTTACACCTGCATCTGATTTTCTATTGTAAATTTAATATAATTTTAATCTCAGAACTGATTTCTTATACAATTGAACAGATATAGGTGTAGTGGATGTGTACAGATCTGTAATTTAAAGATTTGAAAGAATCTGAGGAAAAGACAAAATTAGTCTTGTCACGTGATTCGTTAATTTATTTAGTTGCATCTCGAGATTATTATACAGCTCTCATATACTAAACATTCAGAATTGGATTAGAGGGGAAAGAAAAAAAATTGGGATAGTTGAAGTAGACTGCTACTTTGGGTAAATGACTTATTAATTTTTAAGAACTGTTCGAGGGTTGTTTCTGAAATATGGCTTTTCCAATATAGAAATTTAAAGTGATCCTGAGGATTTTAAAACAATTATTAAACGTTTTGTATAATTGTTTTAGATGAAACTTCATTTTCTTGATGCTAATTTTTTAATTATCGAATTAATTATAAAACTTGAACTTGTCAGAAAAGTAAAGGGTAAAATTAAAATTGTAGGATGTCTACATATGTATGGATAAAATTTGGCATCATTGATTGTATCATTATTTGAGAATAGGATTAGGAAGAGAGAATAGATTACTCAGGAATAGCGCACATGAGAAGTGGTATTTGACAAGAAGGTAGTTTTGTCAAAATTAATAGCTGTTTTAGAACAGCGTAGTGGAACTTAAACTCCAGGAAAAGATATTTAGTTTGAAAAAAATAATTATATGATCAAACCAGAAGGAATTCCTGATTGGAAAGGTTTAAGAAGTGGATTATGATCAAGTCTGGAGATGATTTGACAATAGCCTAATATTTTCAAATCTTTTGATGAAGTAGATAGGATGGAGATGGGACTACAGTAGGAAGATATAGCTAAAATACGTTTTCCAGGTATAGAGAAAAGGAAATTTTAAAGGGAAAAGTCTAGATTTAAAGAAGGAAATGAAGTAATTAATAATGAATATTATTAATAATGAAGGGATTAATTTGGCATTTGTGTACTGAGACAGCAATTTGTTCATTAGGTGAAATGCCAGTCTCTTATGAATATACAAGAACAAAATTAAAGGTATTAGTCTCAAAGTAACAAAAAAAAATAAAAAAAAATAGAAAAAATAATAAACAAATCGAAATAATTATAAATCATAATGTAACATTTAATATCAAAGAATAGAAAAATAAATGGCATAAAGATGAAATAATAAAACAAATATATTTAAAACTTATCTATATACAATCTTTTGGGAACTGGATGGAAATTTATAAGAGGTGGGTTTTAAATGGAAGGTTGGTAGTAAAAGGGAAGGTTCAGTAGTGAAAGGGATGGAATTCCATTTGGATGAGGATCAGATAATGAAAGATTTGGGTAGAAGGAGCTCGGGAATGTATGATGGACAACGGGATTGGATGATTCAGAAGAGGGAGGATTAGCCATTTCAACACTTCGTAAAAATGGAAGACAGAGGCTCTTTGATTGGGGGAAGGTGAACTATACAAATCAATTTATCAACTATTTTAGTTTTGCTCAGAGATCCACAAAGACACCAATATATACCACACAACAATAGTCAAAATGGGTAATATTAAGGAAGTAAACAGAAGTTTATATGTTTCAAATGGAAACGGATGACAGAAGTAATTTTGTTGCTATATGGTGGAAAAGGTACAGTAAGATATATACCATAAATAGTGAAAGGAAGGATTTTAAAATGGTGAAAATTTACCTGAATGAAGACCCTGTGTACCCAAGGCTTCATGCGATGAGTGACTGGTGAGCGGAAGTTAACGTTGAGCACGGCTATGGTGACGACGACGGATGCCGTCACAAGCATCATCGTGAAGAGGAGATACTTGCCGAGGAGGGGGACAGTGAGTGAGGTCGGTGGGATGATTTCGGCGAGCAGGAGGAAGAACACAGTGAGCGAGAGAAGGATGGATATACAAAGGGACACCTTCTCCCCAGAGTCAGACGGCAGGTAGAAAACTAGCACAGACAGGAACGATATTCCAACGCAGGGGATTATTAGGTTGACCGTGTAGAAGAGCGTCTTCCTCCTCAGGGTTATGTTGAAGATGATGTCCGGGTAGGGTTCCTCGCAGCAGGAGTAGAACTTTTCGTTTCGGACGGCTGGTACCTTCATGATGTCCCATTCGACGGATAGGTAATAGTCCTGAAGGTCAATCCCGATTTCGATAGTGTCTGAGTCTGGAGACTGCGACATGTGCCTCAGGTCCACCTGTTAGGAAAGAATATCTATTATTTAACAGAACAATTTAGAATATTATTTAATAACAAAGAACTTTGAGATTAAGTATGATTAGAGCTTTAAGAATGCAAGATAGTAGGATGTTTAGGATAAACAATTTAGTAAAAAAAAAAAAAAAAAAAAAAATCAACATTACTAATATATGTAGATGAATACAGGGGTTTTATGGCGTAAGTTGTGCCATCAAAATTTTTCAGGGGGCATATTTTGAATTTTTGAGAGGAGAAATTTCAACGGGGTTATGAATTTTCAAACAAAGAGACAAGGGAAAACATGGATCAGACCGCAGAAAGTGTAATTGTATGATCTATGATTTTTCTACCTTAGCTTACTTTGTTTTTAAGAAAAGGTAAATAATAAAATGTCTTGGGAGGAGAGAAGGGGGTAGGTTCTTGCCCCATCCACCTTGAGGGGGTTGGATACTCCTGGATGTATATGTGTGAATATACATATATACAGAAATAGAAATAGATATAGGTGTGTGTCTATATATACAATGGTACACTGGTTGCCCATAAGTCTTTTAGCAAAATAAACAATCTTAATTTATAGTATTTTCTGTATCTGGACGTTTCGGGAAAACTATGTCTATAATTAAATAACATTATGTAATTCTTGATATTGAAGAGGGAGACAGGGTACCCTCGAAATGCTCTAAATAAAGGAAACACTAGAAATTATGAGTGTTTATTTTGTTAAACAAGATCTACATACCATTTTTAAATCATTATTTCCCAGTTATCGTTTAAAAATCTTGATGTGCTCACCAACTCTTCTTTTGATATTTATAATTTTTTTTTGTTTATTTACTTTGTTATTTGTTAGGAAAACGTAGGTTTTTGATAGTCAAATTTTAATAGTAATAATTGTGGATAATTGTTGGCTGTTGAAAGGTATTGTTAAAGAGAAGTTGATTGAGAATTGCAGTCATTGGAAGTACAAAGTAAAAATAAATTATATTTCTTCATGTCAACGTTTTGGCTCAGGTTTCAGGCCTTCATCACACATAAGGAAGTAAATATTAATATTTATTTACTTACAAAATTTTCAGAGCTTTTCAACCACCTGGGTTATTAATATCTAAACTGTCTGGAAAAATACCGATAGGGTTTTTGGAAATAAGGAACGCCCACACTGATATAAAAACATTTTTATATCTACTTAAACATAATTGAGTAGTATAATAATCAAGTATAAGTATAATAATCAAGTTGAAGTATAATTGTCGGTATGAATAACATTTGTTGGTATAAATGTCTCTAAGCAAATGGATCATCTTCGCTCAGGGAATAAAAAAGTAAGGAACGTCAAAAAAAAAAAGAAAAATAAATAAAAGAATGTGTATTGTTCCTGCCCAGTGGGTACCGGAACCCATCTAATCCACAGTGGAAATTAACTTTGTATTTCCTGAATGGGTCGGATGGCAGGAAGGCAGGAAGAAAAAAAAAAAAAAAAAAGGAAGAAAGAGGAATTACTTTGGGAATTGTTTTCACTTGCCCTGTGACATTCTTCTGTGAACCAACTGAAGGAACTGAGCGGTCCCTTCTACCCTTTTATCGCACTCCAACGATGTATCCATTTTCATTTCAAATGTCCTCAAGGGTATATTCTTTTTAACTTATCTCTCCAACTTCCAGTCGGTTGGTTATTGCCGTCAAGTCGAATATTTATTTCGCCGCGGGGTCACCGGCTCAATACTTTTTATTCGGAACTATTATTGCATTATATTTAACATTTCTCTTTAAAAAAAAACATCTGGTCTCTCGATAGGAAGGGAATGGAGTGGGGGTGTCTGATGGAAAATTCTCTTTATCAATAGTGCAATAAGAATTAGGTTACATATCATTGAAAAAAAAAAAACGAATACAGAAATAACTTGAAACATTCTAAGGGAATATACTTGCATATTTATTTTGACACCTTTGTGGACTGTGGAAATTGACGGCTAAGAATATTCAAACTTGGTTTAGAAGTAGTCCGGATGCCTTCCAATCCCGAACGAAGCTCACGACTTACATTTAGTGTTGCCCAAATGCGAGACCGAGACTACTAGTCTTGGTCTTGCAAACTCAGTCTTGGTCATGGTCTTGGTCTTGCCCAAGAGTCTCTCGACAGTCTTGCAGTTACTTATTATCATATTATAATAGAGATATTAGTGTAAATTTTTAGAAAGGAGAAACCTAAGTAAGCATGAATGAAAAATTAAAGGAGTTAAATGCAAAAGTATATTGGTTGTGCCAATTATTAACATATAGTAACTAAGATTGTCAAGTATTAGTAACTATTTTGCCTTGATTTTTATTAAAAAAATCAATTTTTTTTCCCAGTCCTGGTCTCGGTCTTGCAACAGATAGGTGGCCTTCTTGGTCTTGGTCTTGCAAAGTGCAAGACCAAGACCGATTTTGGGCAACACTACTTACATTATAGACATGCTACTTACGATATTTTTTTTTATTTATTTTTTTATCAATTTTAAAGGTTCATTTGTTTATTAAGTTCAATTCATTTACTGATTTTACTGCTATATTTTTAAAGTTTATTTATCTATTCTGTCTTATTATCTATAAGTGCCTATTATTGTTTTTATTTATTTATTTTATTCTATCAATCCTTTTTTTATTTTTTGTACCAACCATCCAAAAAATATAAAAGTCGTGTTATTTAGCTGATCGGGCGCTGATGACCTGGATGTTTTGCTCCTAGACATCGAAACAAACGAAACGAAACGATGTAGACGTGCTAAATTTACAAAGATCGAAACTTACTTGCCAGGAGCCATAATATGTAAGGCATTCGACTACTAAACCATTTTAAAGATACTTTATATCGCCAATTTATCAAATAATACACCAAACTATCTTAATAGATACGAGATTGATTTTTTTTTTTTAGATCGGGTGACTTTTTTTGTATTTGTCCTTCTCTTTCTCGCCTTTTAGGCTACACGGATTTTTACCCGGTCCAGTGGAGAGGGTGGTGGATTAGTTTCAGAGATAAAAGCCCTCTCATCACTAGGACGCGAATTCGTAATTATTTTATCATATTTTTTTTAAGTTAATCAGGTTGTGGGGGCCGGGTGGCCGAGCGGACTAATATGTTGTATGAAACACCTTGCCTGGGCATACTAACGATAAACCGAAGGTTTTGAGTTCAAATCACGGTGCCAGTTGGGACTTTTAACTCAATATAACTCCTCCGCCATTATCCTAAAAGACGAGGAAGGTGAGAACAAAAAATTTGCCGGACAACGCGCGTTTTGCAAACACGTTAGCCCGCTCGAAATGACGAGACTGATGCTGTAAAACATTTTATTTTGATTTCATACATATTGACTGACTATCGTCTTCGATATTAATCCCTCCTCTATCACTGAAATGCTCCATGCGAATCTTCCTTTGTCAAAAAAATGCTGAAAGGCTTCTATTGTCAGCTCTTCCAGGGCGCGTGTTTCTTTCTCTTTCAGCAACTACGTGAATTTAGTGATTCGTGATCAGATTCGCTCATTAGAGGTTTTTTGGCTATAGATGAAGGTGGACTCTTCTTGTGCATAGATTGGCGCTTCCTCAGGAACATAAGTAAAAAAAACACGATTGATCAATCTGCATTAAAAGGGACAAGTCTTTTGAAGTTGTAAAAGATAAATCACCAAACATATTTTTTAGTAAATGGATTAAAAACATTTTATACGATAATTTGTCGGTGTTTTGAGTCCAAATTGTTTCAAAACATTCACGGAATATCATTGAATAATTTAAGCCATCAAATGTTAACTTATCAACTAGCGGTCAACCCAAACACATCCTCCATGAAAGGTCTCGATATAGTCAAATATTTAAATATTAAGTCAAAAGATAGAAAAGAATATTTAGTTGAATGTTGTTGAGGTACTTGTGTAGAATACGGCCGGCAGTATGGCAGCTGGCCACAGACACTCAAAATGGAAGTTCGTACATTTCCGAGTATGGACGAATCTTTCCGAAAGTAAACGAATACAAAGGATCTCCACGCCTTCCTGTTAAACCGATTTAACTATAATCTACTATTTTTTTTTTCATTATATAATAAAATAATATATTTTTTTTTGTAAATTCGACATTTTTATTCAGTTTAACTCTTCAATATTATTAAAAAATATCGAAAAATGAAGTCATTAGTTTATACAGTTGTACTCTATTGAAAGTAATTATTCTTACACTCATATGTAAATAATAAAATTTAGTTTTGCAATCTTGTAAATATTAAATATTTTCGAATCCAGTCGTAAGAAGGTGGAGTTTGTCCCAAGTAAATTATAGTGAAAGCATTGGTTGGTTTGTGGGCGCTCGGCCAGGGTTCACACAAAGAGATCTTGTTCTCGTCATTACTCAGCCATAGTAGCCAAAGACCATTTTGTTCCCGACCCTTTGCCAAAAGGCAAAATGGCCGAGCGAGGAGAAAGGTTTTATTTATGAAATCGAAAATGAAAATATCACTCACGCTTGAGGTGTTACAGGGATATTATGAGATAAAGAGAAACGAAATATGCATTTGAAAAGTTAAAATTATTCGATTATGTTAACCGTACATAAAAATTTATGACTCATTAATGATGAGCTTATTAATGATTAATGATAGTAATAATAGTTCTTAAGAATAAAAAAAAAATATTGAAGGAAACTAGTCCACTGTTCTACATATCATGGGTGATAAATATTCAGGACTCAATCTTTTTAAAAAAAAAATATTTAATTTTTTATTTGTGCCAACGTTTCAACCCAAACATGTGGGTCATCTTCAGGGCGTGGTTTGAGCACTGAGGGTGTTCAAGTACTCACAAGTTCAAGTGCTTAGGATGTTCAGGACGTTTGGGTTGAAACGTTGGCACAAATAAAAAATTATTTATTTATTTTTAAAAAGACTGCGTCCTGAATATTTATCACCCATGGAAAAAAAAAAATCCTTCCCCGGATCCTGCTACTTAACTACCACTA